CTCTCTCTCTCTCTCTCTCTCTCTCTCTCTCTCTCTCTCTCTCTCTCTCTCTCTCTCTCTCTCTCTCTCTCTCTGGCCGCGCGGTTGGAATGTGCAAAACGGGAATGAATTTTCCCGTGCTGTCGGGAAGATTCATTCTCGTTTGATACTTCGAATCTCAGAGAGAGAGAGAGTGAGTCGGCGCCAAACTCGCCTGGCGCAGCCAATTTCGCTGTCTCTCTCTCTCTCTCTCTCTCTCTCTCTCTCTCTCTCTCTCTCTCTCTCTCTGTGTGTCTGTGGGAGCACTTGCAAAGTTTGCAAGGGTGTCCGGCGGTCTGTGGGGGGTTTATCTCCCCACCGAATACCCCGGACTGAGGACGTTTTTGGACCGAATGTAGATCGAGATACGGTGAAAGTCGTGCCCTTGTTGCTGTACTTTATTCCTATTTTTTAATTTTATTATTTTCCTTTTTTTTTTTTTTTTTTTCTCGTGTGGTTTTTTCTTTTTTCTTTTTTCTTTTGCGGCATATAGTAGATACGAGGGAGTAGAGTCCTTCCCGAACTACGCGGGAGCAGCACTGTGGTCAGAGGCGGTATATCAAACCCATCGGGAGTACGACCCAATTTTTGTTGTTTTTCGAAGTCAGGGCTGGTTTTGGGTGCTGTTCTGAGCACGCCCGGTCTTCCCGTCGGATGACGGGGGATATCTTTAGCATGAATCAGACTGCGTACGACGAAGGGGAGAGACGAAGAGACCGGGGTGTTTACACTTCGCTTGAAGTCAGCGATGGTGGGAGAAGGTGAAGAACCAGGATACGCTAATCGGGTGGGAGGGCAGACACTACGTGAAGCAACCGGAAGGGAAGGTGAGTGGAACCGAGGAATGGAGAGCGGGAATGGGCCCAGATGCATGTACTGTAGTCAGGGAAAGGGAAGAGGAACATGTATACGAGAAGAAGTGTTCTCAACCTACGTAGACAGAGGGGAGTAGTTGGGATAGAGCTTGGATCGATGTAGGCACGCGACTCCGGGGATAAATAGGAGTAGAAGGTAGAGGTCGTTATCTCGACTTCAGCCCCCCTGAAGAGTCTGCTGCGTGCGCCAGCAGGGAAACGCGTCGGGGCAGAGCGTACGAACTGAGCTTGTTGTGTATCTTTTGAAACCGGGGAAGTTGTGATGAGAAGATTGTGAACTTTGTGGTCTTTTTGCTCCCCTTCTCACTGTTTGTACGCATCTTTCTGGGTTCTCGTGCTCTCTTACGGGTCATGGTCCTCTCTTACCTGCTCTTGTCTCGTGTTACTTCCGTTCTGTCTCGTCTTCTTCAATCTTCAATCTCTCTCTCTCTCTCTCTCTCTCTCTCTCTCTCTCTCTCTCTCTCTGTGTGTGTGTGTGTGTGTGTGAGCTTCGAATTAGTAAACGGGAATGAATCTTCCCGACAGCACAAGAAAATTCATTCCCGTTTTGCACATTCGAACCGCGCTGCCACAGAGAGAGAGAGCCGAGTTTGGCGCCGACTCTCTCTCTCTCTCTCTCTCTCTCTCTCGGGCTTCTTTGTTTTTCAATTTCTTTTTTTTTTTGGCAGAAGAATTGTCATTTTTTCTTGTTTTTTTTTTTTGTTTTGTTTTGATGTGTACCTACCGGTAGCTCGAGGCTCGACAAGGTTCGGGATACCGGTAGGCTGAGCCACGAGCCTTAACAACCGGTAGGTACTGGTGGTTTAAAGGAGTTCAGTAAAATTTAGGAAAAACATGGATAACTGCTGACCTATTGCTAGACTACTCAAGCAGCAATTAATAAGTTCAAAAGGAAAGCCACAGAAGTCCTTCGAATGCTCAAAACCCCTGGAATCCCTAACAAAACACTCTTTTTTAAGTTTTTTTTTTTTTTTTTCAACACCCGAGGGTATGCTAGGGGCGCTGATAAGAGCAGACACCCCTAGCATTCCCGGGAGGCTCCATCTATTGGTGGGGAGCCACACCTGCTGGAAACCGGGTCCAGCATCCCTGAACATTGTCCTTTTCCAGTAACTACCTGCCAGCATTGATTACCCTGAAGCCAGGGGATTAACTGAGCAGGTAAATAGACGAGCATGAAAGGGATTTTAACACAAGGAGGGCTCTTCACCGTGCTGCTGGGCGCCTGACCAACCTGACTACTTGGCCCCTTTTCTCCCTTCAGTAGCAGCATATTGTGAATCTAAGCCCTGAATCCTAGTCTCCCACCCTTCTCTCTCCGAGGATCATCCATCCGTCCCGTACTACTGCACTCTAAAATTGTCTAACATTGTCTTATTCCCTGCCGAACTCTCCCAGGCCTCACGCCCCCACCCTGCTAGGTTACAGGGCAACATGACTCAACCCAGCTCCGGCCAGCGTCGTCCCGACAGGAACCCTTTGTTTTCCCTTGGAATGCCCGCCCCAAGGCATCCCCAGATCTCTCTACCAGGCCTCACACTCGTGCTGTCAACAGGTTACAGGTCAACCCCCCAACACCGGGCAGTGTCATGTTGATTTGTTTTCCTTTTTTTGGCACCGGGTGGGAGTAGGATAGATGAACTCCCCCTCATTGATTAGGGTTGATTGGCTCTCAACTCTCATGCCCTCAACTCTTAATCATGTGGCCTTATGAGGGGTTTGATGATTACGTTTTGATCTTACGTTTTCATTTTCGGTTGATTCCTTGATTGGGTAGGGGTGATCCACGTTTCTCATATGCTTCTCGATAGTACTTCGGTGGGATAATCCTTCATGGCTACATCATCCTCACCACACAACATTGAATAGGGGGATAAATGCTTCATCAGCAGGAGGGCAATCCTTCCCCTGCGTAGGGAAGTAATCAATGCCTCTGCTCCTTTCGGGGATACAGGTGACTTATGAATATATACTGCTTGGCTTCACACATCGTTGTACAGGGATGCTGTACCCGATTTCCAGCTTACACACAATGCATCTGTACTTGGGTTTCGACCCTTGGTTTGATTGACGGGACTGGGCTTGAGGGCTCGAGGCCTTGCTCGCTATGGAGAAACGGTAGAATAGGTACATAGGGTTCTCCCATCATAAACAGAGGTCACATCGAAATTAGGGCTTCGGCTTCTGGTGTGATCGACAGGATTGGGCATGATGCCTTGCTCGCTATGGACATATGGTAGACTAGGTAGATAGGGCAACATTGGAGAGGTCACCCACAAAGGAGGAGATATGGACGACACTAATGCAGATGGAGGAAGAGAAAACTCCCGGATTAGATGGGCTACCCAAGGAGTTCTGGGAGACAATGTGGCCCTCCCTCTCGCAAGATCTGATGGATTATTATTAGACGGTTTGGACAACGGGACAAATGGGAAAATTCGTTGGACAAGGGATACTGACCTTACTCCACAAGAAAGGCGACAAGATGAATATTAGGAACTATTGACCAATTACGCTTCTGACTGTGGTGTACAAAATGATAGCAAAGACATTGGCAAATCGCATGACCCCGATAATGCCAGACATCATACACCCAGCGCAAACCGGCTTCATTAAAGGAAGGAAAATTCAGGACAATATTCTCCTCATTAATGAAATCATTAAGCTATCCCGTCAGTCCAGACACAATGCGGCAATCATTTTAGTGGATCTTGAAAAGGCATACGACCATATAGACTGGGTTTTCCTTGACCAATGCCTAGAAAAACTCAATTTCGGCCCAGGTTCAGGCGTTGGGTGCAGATTCTTCATCAAATTGCTACGACAAGGGTGCAAGTTAATGGCAGATTGACCCCCCCCATTCGACTGGAACAGTCGGTGCGCCAAGGCGACCCAATTGCCCCCTTTTTGTTCGTAATAATTATGGAAGCATTTTGCTGACGACCTCACCCTTATGGTGGAAGCCTCGGCCGAGGAGGTTGTCCCTATTTGTTCGCTCTTTGCTGACGACCTCACCCTTATGGTGGAAGCCTCGGCCGAAAACATGGAGGAAGTTGGTAGGCTGATGAATCAATTTTGTCATCTATCAGACATGAGAGTCAACTGGGGGAATAAACCTGATGGCTGGTGATACACTACCAAGGGGCCAGACCGCCGGAATCCCCGCGGGTGCGATGGCTGCCAAAGGAAGCCCCGATCAGGGTGTTGGGAGTCAAACTATCAGCAGAGGGACAACCGCCCGCGAACAATGAATGGTTGATGCAGCCGGTCCTTGAAAAGCTGAACAGTTGGAAAGATAGCAGAACATCGCTAATGGGACGGACCCTGGTAATCAACAATGTAGCTCTAGCCTCATGATGGTGTAAAACAGCGCTCTGGTCACTCAACAAACTCATGATGACCTCCCTCCGGCGACAGGTGGCGACATTCCTGTGGAGGGGGAACCACGAGTGTCCTAATGGCAGAGTGGCGTGGCACACAATGATCCAACCAAAAACCAAAGGTGGGCTGGGGATCATAGACTCATCCACTCAGGTGATGGCCCTAGCCTTGCAGTGGGTTAAACAACTATATCTCGACCTACAAATTCCTTGGAAAGCACTGGCATTACAACAAATAACCAGGCTGGCCCCGGTGGCCCTCCTAGACACGGACCCGACGACTTGGCTAGAAGACCGATATTGGCCCGTTCCTCGACCATCACCAGAGAGAGAAGATGAACCCGATACGGACAGGCAAGCAGCTAGGAGGGATCTAAAAAATGATGCCTTCTGGACTTCACTTATAAAAGCATGGAGGAAACTCCCCCCCCCAGATAAAACACCACCACGACGTTGGGAGGAAGTATATAGACAACCCCTCTTTGGCAACCGGTGGATAACAGATTCTAACAGGGGTGCTACGGTGTACAGCCCCCCCCTGGAAAGGATGGACCAAATACGGCATCTTAAGGGTAGGACATATCTGGGATCATGAGCGGGGAGATTGTATGTCCGAACCTAAGTTGAGAGAAAAACTGAGATACTGTCACAAAGTAGGGGAGAAATTGGAAACAATCGTCTTTGCAGTCCCCCTGGACTGGGTTCACATCCTCAAAAAGGGACCGACACTGGAAGAGAGTGATTGGGTGGGCATAATGGACCAAGAGGGAGTAGTCGGAAGTATAGTGGACATACGCTTACCACGAGAAGGGGGGGAAGAAGTACTGGTTAACCTTTTTCACAGATCCTCGGATGACAGGCTTACAAGAATGAAAGGAGACAAGGTACAATGGCATAAAAAAACAGAGTTGTTCCGAATCCGGGTCTTAAAAGAAAGAGACGGATGGCTGGCATACAAACCGACCACACCGATCTCACATTTTGGCTTTGATCCGGAAAACTGGAGCTAGACACTACCCATAGGTCTGGGGCAGCGACAACTGCACACACAGTCGGTCAAATCAGCTTATCGACTGTTGCGCCCTAAAAGGAACTTAAAGGATATACAACAACACCTAAACGTGGGGAAAGAGGCCCTTCGATCACTTAAATGGTTTAGACTGAGCAAGGTCTCCCCAATGAAAGTGACATCGTTGCAATGGTAAATTGAACACCGCTGCCTGCCCACAAACAACTGGCTGATTGATAGGACAACCTTGGAACAATGAGGACTTGCCCTACCATGGACAAACTTTGCTTATCAACCTTCCCATCAAGATGTTTACCAGAAATAATTGAGCATATCTTCTTACAATGTCCGACGTCGGTATGGCTATGGAGATGGTGGGAAAGGGTATGGAGACTGATGGGCACCACGACACTCTGGCCGTGGGATTGGAAGGCACTACTATGTGAAACATGGCACCCGGAACAAGCTACAACCTTCGAGGAGAATATGTTTAAAAAATAGGGAGGCGGGCGGTGCTCTGGGCGCTATGGAGGAGACGCTGCGTCTATGAAATGGAGGGAGTA